ATAGGAGGTAAGCAGCCCAGCCCAAACCCCAGACCTAAATATTCATGGCGGGGTTCGACAAAAGGTATAATCACATGCATCGGCGTCTCGGATACAAGACAACTGAGCAAGACAGCAACAAAATTTAATTTCGGGTCATTGATCAATATCAGAACACACATAAGCCCGAACTATTGGGAAGGTATTTATATCCCTGACATTTTCTCAGTGACCAAAAGTATGGGGAAGGGGATGTAAGACCACAAATTCAGATCTGCACAGAGAAAGAGCATGGTCTTCCAAGTACCATAGAACATAAGATCAGCGAAGAGCCACTAGTTGATGATGTTGAAGACGAGTTTCCCATCAGGGGAAGAGTCAGGCAGTGGCAACCAAGGTAGGGCTATGCAAGACAGGACCGACACAGCCCCGTGGTCAAGGTACCCAGGGCCCTGGTCTTTGATGGAAAGAGTTGTTGAGCGGCTTTTTATTTGAAGTTTAGGACTTCTGAGGAGTTATGGGACCAGTTATGTTTCTGCGTGAAGGATGAGAGTGAATACTACTTTGCTTTGTGGACTGAACAAGATAGATATATTCCATTTGAGATCTTGTAAGGAAATTTCATCTCTGGTATGATAGCCAAGAACTTCCAGAAACAGCGCAGGTAAAATTCAACACAATGCACCAACAACCAGATGAGTGCCTAGAGAAATGGTCAGAACGACTCATGTCACTTTTGACAGTTTGTCATTACCAAGAACGATTCTGAAATAAGGTCCAAACACTCCACAATTCAAGGAGAAGTGTGACATTTTTAGATCCAGTACCCTTTGTTCAGAAGAATCATGGAAAGCAAATGACCCAATGTTTCGCAAAGATGCTTTGCAGAACGCGGATAAAATGGAAGTGCTAGTATTAAATCTACTTTGAAATCAAAGAATCAACTTTCAAAAACAAAGTTGACTTTGGTAGCAGAAGTTCACAGGTTCCTAGATCATCAGCATCGCCTCAACCTTTTATAGAGACAAGTAGGATACAAACACGTCCACCACCGCCTGCAGATAGAAAGTGTTCATGTTGTGAATCAACATTTTGTGAGTGAATGTCGTACAACGAAATAGTGAACTTTATGCAAGTGCATTTCAAATTTTCAAATCGATCATTGAACACACTCAGCAGCTTTAAAGTTTATTTAACCTACCACTTTTTTACCTTGATACATTTATGAGACTGGGATGCAATCTGGTTTTGTATGGTGCAACCTGGTTTTCATGTCAACATGTACCTGGTGCAAGTTAAATCAAGTTCCTTATTTCGAGCCTTGCATGTATAAAATGCCAGTGTCGACATGATTTACTGCTTCATCATGGAGAGCCTCCAGTGCCTCAACATGATATGATGCAGATAAGTTCTTAACTAAGTTCCAATATGGGGGTCGTGTGTGAGTTTGATTTTTCACTGCTTTTAGCAATATTCTAGCAATATCAGGGTGGGGGACACCAGCGATTGGCTTCACGCATAGTACCCATGTGGGGAATGGAACCTGGATCTTCTGCATGATCAGCGAATACAGTAATCACGAGGCTACCCCATCTCACCCAATATGGGGGTCGGAACGGAAACAGATGGCACATGCACTGTGGTAATTAGGCATGTGAAGGTTCTGATGAAGGGAGAATTATGGACCGTGGAGACTTGCGCTTTTTTAGAACCAGGCAGCAGTGCATCCTTCTGTACAGAATTACTAATGAGAAAGTGGCAAGCACATGAAGCTCAACATTGACACTGTGGACAAACCTATGCTGTATCCAAAATGCAAGTTTGCATTTTCTCCATGGAAACCCATGATACACTTCCCAAGATGTTTATTGTTGATTGTTGTCAAAGATTGATATTCCAACCTTAGATGACATGAAGAATTGGACTCATCTCAGTGACATAGAGATACCAAACATAGATGCTGAAATAGGTAACATGATAGGCAACAGTATTCCAGATGCCTTCACACCTATTGAGGTACGTCTAGACCCGATCATGCTCCACATGCAACTAGAAGCTGCCCTGGTTGAGGGTTGTGGAATGTGACCTGCGACAGCAACTACATGCTTGGATTTTTTAAGATGCACAATAAACAGAACAGATGTTGCAGTTTAAGATTGCATGGATTTCAAACAGTTAGATCGGATAGTGTGTCACTCATTCAACATGGACTTCCCAGTGAGGACAAAAGTTGATTAGAAGCAGCACTCACAGGACAACACAGTATTCCTACCCATTATGATGGATTGATGGACGTTATGAAAAAGCTCTTCCCTTTAGGGACAAGAAATTAGTTTACCCATATAACTACTCCTTGCAATCTATTGTTTGATGGGATTGACAAGGTTGATGAACAGGACAACAAATTCTTTCTGCAGTATACCGTCTTCATGAATAAAATGCTGACTATGTTGACTGGCCATCTGGCCAGATGATGAACCAGAACTAGATGATAGGCTTGTGTGGTCATCCCCAACCAAAGAAGATGAAGTCGCGGGTTGTGTTTAACTGTGCAGTCACTTCAATGGTTTTTTACTCAATCAACAGTTGCTATCAGGACCTGACCAGACAAATAACATCCTCATACGTGTTCAGATGAGATTTACATGGGAGACAGTGAGTGTGTTTTACCAGGTACGGGTGACAAAGGATCATTGGAACTATCAGCGATTCCTCTGGTGGCAAGATGGGGACTACAGAAATCCACCATTGAAGTACAGGATGAAAGTCCACATATTTGGTACTACATCGTCACCCAGTTGTGCAAATGCAGCCCTCTTGAAGACCGCTAGTGACAATGAAGAGAAGAAAGTATGAACCAGCGATTGCAGAGATTGTAAGGAACAATTTCTATGTGTATGTTTGCTTGTTTCTGAGCAAAATGTAAACAAGACTCTCAGTTGTATGACCTGGTTAACTTCTGTGTGTCAGCAGGGTGTATTTAGACTAATTAGATAGGTAAGCATCAGCATCTGAAGGAAGACTGGGCTGCAGGAGTGAAAGATCTCAATCTAGATCAGTTGGAAACTAGATCAGAGGAAAGAGCCTTTGGAGTTGTTTGGACAGTGCACACTGTCTTAAACCTTAGGCTTTATGTAAATTATGCTGACTGTACCAGAGGACACGTTTGAAGTCGTCTGTTCAATCTACAATGTGTTAACAGTCTCTAATATCCAAGACGTTCAGATCTCCAGCAATATAAATACACACAACCTGCACTGAATCCAGCTGATGCTGCTTCAAGAGGCATGTTGATGGCCACATTCTTAAAGATTGATCAGTTGTATTCGGGACTAACCTTTCTCTGGGAATCTGAAGAGAGGCAAGAGGTATGGGGATAGCCAAATTCTTTAAGATGGACCAGTGGTTCCAAAGATCTACCTGTTTATGGGAATCTGAAGAGGAATGGCCCTCTATTGTCATGGGGTCGGTCGGGTAGCCTAGTGGTAAAAGCGTTCGCTCGTCAAGCCGAAGACCCGGGTTCAATTCCCGACATGGGTACATTGTGTGAAGCCCATTTCAGGTGTCCCCTCCGTGATATTGCAGGAATATTGCTAAAGGCGGCGTAAAACCATACTCACTCACTCTATTGTCATGGCATGTGAACATTGTCCAGAGGATGACCCTGAAATCAAGCCTATAGTGGCTGCTACACATATGGATCAATCTGTGGACATTACGAGCAGACTCCTGAACTATAGCTCACCCTGGCTGAAAATATTTGTGGAGTGGTTCCTCCTTTACATGGACAATCTACAAATAAAATTGAAAGAGAAACAAGAACCCACAAAACAAACTCGAGTGTTTTGAAAGCTTAGATAAGGAAACCAAAGGGACAGTACGAAAGAACTCCAGATGACACCTCACAGTGGAAATCACTGATTATGCCTAATGTTCTTCACTTAGTCCCAATATTTTTACTTAAGGATTGGGGGCGGTCGGGTAGCCTACTGGTTAAAGCGTTCGCTCATCACGCTGAAGACCCGAGTTCGATTCCCGACATGGGTACAATGTGTCTGGTGTCCCCGACGGGATATTGCTGGAATATTGCTAAAAGTGGCGTAAAACCATACTCACTCACTCACTCACTCACTCACTCACTCATTAAGGAGTGAAGTTGTATTTGTTGACGTTCATCAGCTGATGAAGACAGTGCCCCACATGAGCAAATTCCAAGATGCGCAAAGCTTCATTTCGGTGACCTGACATGATCTGTCTGGCTTTGAAGCCTGCATCATTCACAGCCTGATTCGATGTCGTCATTTTCCCTAATCATGTTTAATGTTATTTTTAGACATTTAGGAATTCCCGTAAAGTAGTTCTGTATGTCTCCGCTTGGTTGACAACGTAATCACGTGACATACTGACATTCATCGGGAAATGAACGACAGTCAGCTTGGTAGTGCTCACCGAGGCAAGTTCACTTGCTGTCAATATAAAGACATACATAGTTAAAAAACTATGGATTTAATTAATATGAAAATACATTTATTTTGCATTTGTTTCATTATTACATGATGAAATTAATCATAAATAGATCTAATAATTTGGAAGAAATAATGGATTAATTTCTAAATAGATGTCTGGGCTAAATTGTATATTACTTTGCAATAACACTTTGTATATAACACCTCAATGTGTAATATTGTTGTTCTCAGGATGATGTTATAGTCTCGGTACAGCTATTAAGCAACTTAACATGCTGAAGATATTTCAGAGTGAGGTTATTGAAAAGATTATTACACATCATACAATTGACATGTTAGCTTCTGGATATGGAAAATCAGTGTGCTATGATTTTATCTGTGTGTTGATTCTGTTGAAAGTGGGGAAAACATTTTCAGTAACAGCTATTTTATTATGATACATTCCATATTATCAAGTTGTGTATGGTCCCAGCCCAAGTTGTCATTGGTGGTTTTCTTGTGGAAACATCTTTAGGAAATCTGATAAAGTAAGTGACAACTCTTTTATGTTTTCAGTGAACTCCATAACATCACTCATGGACTGTGACAGAGAATTGGTGGAAACAGGTGATCTCAAGAAAGAACCTGTCACTGACACAGGTGGAAACATGGACTGTGAGAGAGAATTGGTGGAAACGGGTGATATCAAGAAAGAACCTGTCACTGACACAGGTGGAAAAACTGACTGTGAGAGAGAATTGATGGAAACAGGTGATCTCAAGAAAGAACCTGTCACTGACACAAGTTTATTCACTGACTGTGAGAGAGAATTGGTGGAAACATGTGATATCAAGAAAGAACCTGTCACTGACACAGGTGGAAACGTGGACTGTGAGAGAGAATTGGTGGAAACAGGTGATCTCGAGAAAGAACCTGTTACTGACACAGGTGGAAACGTGGACTGTGAGAGAGAATTGGTGGAAACAGGTGATCTCGAGAAAGAACCTGTCACTGACACAAGTTTATTCACTGACTGTGAGAGAGAATTAGTGGAAACAGGTGATATCAAGAAAGAACCTGTTACTAACACAAGTTTATTCACTGACTGTGAGAGAGAATTGGTGGAAACAGGTGATATCAAGAAAGAACCTGTTACTAACACAAGTTTATTCACTGACTGTGAGAGAGAATTGGTGGAAACAGGTGATATCAAGAAAGAACCTGTCACTGACACAAGTTTATTCACTGACTGTGAGAGAGAATTGGTGGAAACAGGTGATCTCAAGAAAGAACCTGTCACTGACACAAGTTTATTCACTGACTGTGAGAGAGAATTGGTGGAAACAGGTGATATCAAGAAAGAACCTGTCACTGACACAAGTTTATTCACTGACTGTGAGAGAGAATTGGTGGAAACAGGTGATATCAAGAAAGAACCTGTCACTGACACAAGTTTATTCACTGACTGTGAGAGAGAATTGGTGGAAACAGGTGATATCAAGAAAGAACCTGTCACTGACACAGGTGAAACCACCGACTGTGAGGGAGAATTGGTGGAAACAGGTGATCTCAAGGCAAAGCTAATTATAATAGAAAGAATCATGGCTTTGAATCCACGATCAGCAGGTCCTCTACCTGCTAAGAGATACAACTCTTATGGTGGTTCAGTAAAGGAGTCCCATAAGTGTCGTTTCTGTGAGAAAACATTTTCACAACATGGTGGCATGGAGTCACACATGAGTATTCACACTGGAATAAAGCCATATCAGTGTGTTGAATGTGGGAAACGATTTGCAAGATCAGGTACTGTCAAGGCACACATGAGCATTCACAGTGGAATCAAGCCTTATCAGTGTGTTCAATGTGGGAATCGATTTAGAAAATCATGTACCCTAAAGACACACATGAAGATTCACATTGTTGTCAAGCCTTATCAGTGTGTTGAATGTGGGAAAAGTTTTGCACTATCGGGTGATCTGCAGAAACACATGAGGATTCACAGTGGAGTCAAGCCTTATCAGTGTCATGCATGTGGGAAAACGTTTACTTATTCACATAACCTGCAGAAACACATGAAGATTCACACTGGAGTCAAACCTTATAAGTGTATGGAATGTGGGAAAGCATTTTCACACTCAGGTGATCTGAAGACACACATGAGGAGTCACACTGGAGTCAAGCCTTATAAGTGTATTGAATGTGGGAAAGAATTTGGACAGTCAGGTAACCTGCAGGCACACATGAGGATTCACACTGGAGTCAAGCCTTATAAGTGTATTGAATGTGGGAAAGAATTTGGAAAGTCAGGTAACCTGCAGGCACACATGAGGTTTCACAGTGGAGAGAAGCCTTATAAGTGTGTTGTATGTGGGAAAGCATTTGGACGATCAGGTGATCTGCAGAATCACATGAAGATTCACACTGGAGTGAAGCCTTATCAGTGTGTTGAATGTGGGAAAAGATTTTCACTGTCAAGTAATCTGAAGAAACATATGAGGATTCACAGTGGAGTGAAGCCTCATAAGTGTGTTGAATGTGGGAAAAAATTTACACGGTCGGCTGATCTGAAGACACACATGACGATTCACAGTAGAGTGAAGCCTCATAAGTGTGTTGAATGTGGGAAAGAATTTACACGGTCGGGTGATCTGCATACCCACATGAGGATTCACAGTGGAGTGAAGCCCCATAAGTGTGTTAAATGTGGGAAAACATTTACACAAAAAAGTAACCTGCAGACACACATGAGAATTCACAGTGGAGTGAAGCCTCATAAGTGTGTTGAATGTGGGAAAGAATTTTCACTGTCAAGTAATCTGAAGACACACATGAGGATTCATAGTGGAGTGAAGCCCCATAAGTGTGTTAAATGTGGAAAAGCATGTACACAATCAAATAATCTGAAGGCACACATGAGGACTCACAGTAGAGTGAAGCCTCATAAGTGTGTTGAATGTGGGAAGACATTTACACAATCACGTACCCTTCAGACACACAAGAGGGTTCACTGTGGAAAACATTAAACTTATAAATGATAGGTCAATCAGTTATTCCTTTAATCCATGCATTATGCATGGAGTTTTGGCTCCGAGAGATGGGTGCATTCAGTGCGTGTTTGTGAGTATGCATATGGATGGGGATGGTGTGTTTACATGTATGACTGGATTGTGGTGTACGTAAGTATGGGTGAATTGAATGTGTGTGTGAGAATGTGCATGTATGGGCATTGTGTGTATGTGTGGATGGTGGTGTATGTTGGTATGGGTGCATTGTATGTGTGTGTGTGAGTATGCGTTTGTATGGGACTGTTGTGTTTGTGAGTATAAGATGAAGGTGAGAAAGAATATAGTACCGCTCACCTATGTCTATTATATTGTATTGTATCGCTTTCCACTTTCATAAATATACTGAACAACAAAAGTTCCTGTGACATTGAATAAGATTTAATGCAATGTTATTTTTTTTACCAAATCTGAAACAATTTCGGTTTGCAACAGATAAAAGACTCCTGTAAGTGTTCAAATGGTTTAATTTGCCATAATGACTTCAGAAAATGCGTGATTTCATAAAAAACATGAATATACCAAAATGTCAATTTACAAATCAATATCGTGTGTGTCCACCTCTAGTTGCGATGCAAGCAACACATCTTCATGTCATTGAATGGACCAGGCCTCGCACAAAGTCCTGTGGGCAATCTGTCCATATCTGCTGGAGCATGTTTCGAAGTTCATGGAGTGTCTGTGAAAAATGTGGTTGATTTCTCATCCCACATGTCCTCGATTGGTGAGAGATCAGGGGAGCCGGCCAGGGGATGACATTCACGTTGTTTTGTTGAAGAGAATCCTGAACAAGTCGAGCAATATGAGGCCGGGCGTTGTCATGTTGAAAGGTAATGCCTGGTCCGTGACGACACAAAAACGGTAGAACAACAGGGCCAATGATCTTGTCGCGGTAGCGCTGTCCATTGAGATTTCCCTCTACCACTATCAAACTGGTCCTCTGTCTTGCTGTAATCCCACCCCATACCATAACGCTGCTGCCCCCAAACCCATCTTCTTCCATGACACAATGATTGACATAACGTTCACCACGACGTCGGTACACTCGAATCCGTCCATCCTGTGGCTGAGGTGAAAACTCGTCAGTGAATAGAACTTGTCCCCACTGCATGGCCGTCCAGCGTAGGCAGTCTGCACCACTGTAGACGTGATTGATGGTGGTTTCCTTTCACGACACTTGATGGTATCCTTAGCTTACACTTTGGTATATAAAAGCGCTTGCAGTATGGTAATCGATTTACTACCCTTTATGTCCAACGGAAATTAAAATTTCCGTACAAACATAATCGTGAAATGTGAAAATAAACTTAGAAATCAACTTATTTATAATCTCATTATGTCAAAAAGGTGTGCTTTAATACTTTTTTCTGTGTAATTTGTGGGCGGATTGCCTTTTAATACTGAATAAAACTCATCTATCTGACTGTATTTGTCATTAGTCAAATTAATAAATTACAATAAATATATTTCTTCTCACGCAGTACTGTGGCAACTGATATATGATTGTATAGATGAACATTTCAGAAACTGGAGTAATCAAATAACCTCACAACCATGATTATATGGGGCACATTGTTCAACATTGTTTTGAGTGAGTGAGTGAGTAAGTGGTAGTTTTACGTCTGTGCCAACCTTTCTGTAACACGCAGAGGGGCCACTTTAATTGGCTAAACACAATTTTCTGACCGTGGGAATCGTACCAGGGACATGTCATGCACTGGACTGACACGTTAGCCATAGATCTATATGGCTGCCAATATTTTATGAAGTTCAATGTGCAAATATGTTATATATTTACACGTAATATTACTAATAGACTGGGTACCTGTGTAATATACAACCAGTGGACAGGCAAGGACACATTTCTCGCTGGTGCAATGATTGGGCAAAAGCTCTGAATATTGATATAATTACTGAAAGGTGAACATATTGCGCAATCTGTTCTTCTGTCATTCATCGTAAATTTATGAAAATATACACAATTGTCAGTTCTATTTTGTTACCTGGAAATCTCTCACTAACTTATTAAAAGACATCAATTATAAGCGCATCATATTTTTATGGTGACCAAAAACTGGTTTGTTTGTCTCCGCTTTTTTTTGGACTGTGAATTTCACTTTAGTACAAGTTTTGAGAGGTGTTCTAAAGTTATCATCAGAGTGAATCAAGATGTTTATAACACTACGTACTTAAGTCTTATAATATTTGAACTATGAGTGAGTGAATTGGGTTTAACACTGCTTTTAACAGTATTCCTGTAATTTCACGGTGTGTCAGCTTAATGTCGGAGGAAAGCCCGAAGAGATGCAGCTGTCAGACGTTTACCACTTTTGTGAAACCCACAAGCACGGGTATGTTGCTGACAAACCTAGAAACATAATCAGGGCGAACCAGGATTTGAACCCACAATCATAGGTTTTGGGCGTGCCCAAAGGACGCAACTCTGCACAGCGAATCGCAGGGGGACTGGGCCTATGCATTTTGAAGAGATAACACCAAATATTACATCAAGATCGAGTCAGTCCGTCATGAGTGCGCGACTTCCCTTTTTGTCAACCACTCCCAACCCTTCTTCCAAGATACCTGGAACTGCCCTTGTACTATGAACAACTTGAAACAAGGTACATTTGTTCCTGAGGATGAACACCTGCGAAAAGAAAGCATACCTACTTATTGAAGCAAGTACCTGTATTGTCATAAAGCGTGCATATGTAACCCAGAAAATAAAGCAAATTGTAATTTGCATGTGATATCTTTGGAATCAGGAATGAGAATATGGCACATTTCAGTTTAAATATTGATGTAATATGACAGTAGAAAACAAACATATACTCTGCAAAAATAGAAACGCAAAAGTTGTAAAATCGTAAATATCTGACAGTGTTGAGGACATCCATACCAAATTAGTACCCAAAATGAACTGGTCATTCTGCATGGATTGGGGTTCATTTATGTGGAAAGAATGGGGTACTGCAGACATTTGGTGAAAAATAGAAAAAATCGCAAACGCACATGAGAACCTGACGCCGAAACACACCAACATGACACGAACGTCACATCACTTGGAGTATATAAACGTTGGTCTTTCATTTGCATGCCATTACAATTTTAGAGAAAGTGAACAGCGAAAACAAGCCCCGAATGGCGGAAGCCCAACGCAACAACGCCATCGACCGACTGCAAACAGGAGAATTATTTTCAGCTGTAGCCAGGCTTTTCTGCAAAGTACCACGCACCATTACAAAGGACCTTCCCAGATCCGTTCGACCACGTCAGCAACAACCACAGAACCTCCGACAGTTGGCAGACTGGGTGAACATTTCCCAGGCCACAATTCGGGATCTCATTGCTTCCATGGAACGACGACGCCAGTCAGTTTGGGACTCTTTTGGTGGCCAGACAAGATATTGAGTGAGGGAGTATGGTTTTACTCCGCTTTTAGCATGGCAGCAATATCACGGCAGGGGACACCAGAAATGGGCTTCACACATGGTACCCATGTCGGGTATCGAACCTGGGTCTTCGGCGTGATGAGCGAACGCTTTAACCACTAATCTACCCGACCGCCCCGTTTTTATATGACAGTTCCTTGGAATCTGTATTAGGATCCATAACTCCAGTTCTAGCAAGAACCGGTTTGAGGAGAGGTCCAATTCCGAAGTACATGTAGCTGACATAGCGCATGGATGTAACCAGTCTATCCAGGAACGTCTCCTCAAACATTTCCAAAGCCTTTTTTTTATCCATCTCTCACTCCGACCTTGACCTTCATACTCTTCTTGATGTGGCCACACATCTTCCTTATAATGTTTTAATGTGTTCTCCCCCAAAGCTGGGCTTCATGCAGTCATTGTACCCATGTTGGGAATCGAACCCGGGTGTTCGGTGTGACGAGCGAACGCTTTAACCACTAGGCTACCCGGCCGCCCACAAGATATTGAGCAAGATGTTGAGAACAGATGACCTTTACCTTGAAAATCTGCTCTTCCATGTGTCATATGGAACCTGGGTCAAGGACAATGATGTGTGCCAATTAGGAACAATTGTTTACCCTCTGTTGATTATTTATATGATATATAAAATAAACATCTATAATCACTTTTGCGTTTCTTATTTTGCAGAGTATTTTATGAAAACAAAACTAGTACTGTGTTTTCACAACAACGATTGTTTTCAAGGAAGAAAAGGGGTGCACTTTTTTCATAATTAATATTTTAAAGTAATAACTACATTGTTCTAATACTTTTTTATAATGAAGTAGATAAGTTGAGACTGACAGATATCGAAACCCACAACGTTGTGAGTGCGTGTGTTATTTTTAATTATTAACCACACTTCTCCGCGAGAGTTACCTCCCTTGTGGGAATGTTTATCCCAGTCGCCTGACACACGTCAGTTATTCACACTGTCCTAAAGTGCTAATATCTTGCTTCACGGAATCTGGGTTAACGTTGTCCCCGACCCTCTCGACAGACCTACCCGCTTCACTGAAATGGGTCTGATCGAGCTTGACTGGTACCCTGGACTTCGCTTCCTTTGGGGAGAGTCATGTTTTTTTGGGGTCTTTGACTCCAAGAGATGGGTGTGTTGTATGCATGCAGGTGTGGGTGTGTTGTATGCAAGCAGGTATGGGTGTGTTTGAGTATGCATATGGTTGGGAATGGTGTATATCATAATGTTTGCGTTGTGGTGTATCATATGTAGATATGGGTGCACATATGTGTGGATGTGTGGGTTTGGATGTAGGTGTGGGTGGAACGGAGCTGTGGGCATATGTTTGTGTGAGGGTATATGTATGTATGTGTAGGGTGTGTGTGTATGTGTAGGGTGTGTGTGTATGTATGTGTAGGGTGTGTGTGTATGTATGTGTAGGGTGTGTGTGTGTGTGTATGTGTAGGGTGTGTGTGTGTATGTGTAGGGTGTGTGTGTATGTATGTGTAGGGTGTGTATGTGTAGGGTGTGTGTGTGTATGTGTAGGGTGTGTGTGTGTATGTGTAGGGTGTGTGTGTATGTATGTGTAGGGTGTGTGTGTGTATGTGTAGGGTGTGTGTATGTATGTGTAGTGTGTGTGTGTATGTATGTGTAGGGTGTGTATGTATGTGTAGGGTGTGTGTGTATATATGTGTAGGGTTTGTGTGTATGTATGTGTAGGGTGTGTGTGTATGTATGTGTAGGGTGTGTTTGTATGTATGTGTAGTGTGTGTGTATGTATGTGTAGGGTGTGTGTATGTATGTGTAGGGTGTGTGTGTGTATTTGTAGGGTGGCTGTATGTATGTGTAGGGTGTGTGTGTGTATGTGTAAGGTGTCTGTGTATGTATGTGTAGGGTGTGTGTGTGTATGTGTAGTGTGTGTATGTGTAGGATGTGTGTATGTATGTGTAGTGTGTGTATGTGTAGTGTGTGTATGTGTAGGGTGTGTGTGTGTATGTGTAGGGTGTGTGTGTGTATGTGTAGGGTGTGTGTGTATGTATGTGTAGGGTGTGTGTATGTGTAGGGTGTGTGTGTGTATGTGTAGGGTGTGTGTATATGTATGTATGTGTAGGGTGTGTGTATGTGTGTGTGTATGTATGTGTGTATGTATGTGTAGGGTGTGTGTGTGTATCTGTAGGGTGTGTATGTATGTGTTGGGTGTGTGTATGTATGCAGTTTGGGGGTATATGTATGTATGTGTAGGGTGTGTGTGTATGTATTCAGTGTGGGGGTACATGTATGTATGTGTAGGGTGTGTGTATGTGTGCAGTGTGGGGGTATATGTATGTATGTGTAGTGTGTGTGTATGTATGTGTAGGGTGTGTGTATGTATGTGTAGGGTGTGTGTATGTATGCAGTGTGGGGGTATATGTATGTATGTGTAGTGTGTGTGTATGTATGTGTAGGGTGTGTGTATGTATGTGTAGGGTGTGTGTATGTATGCAGTGTGGGGGTATATGTATGTATGTGTAGTGTGTGTGTATGTATGTGTAGGGTGTGTGTATGTATGTGTAGGGTGTGTGTATGTATGCAGTGTGGGGGTATATGTATGTATGTGTAGTGTGTGTGTATGTATGTGTAGGGTGTGTGTATGTATGTGTAGGGTGTGTGTGTGTATATATGTGTAGGGTGTGTGTATGTGTGCAGTATGGGGGTATATGTATGTATGTGTCGGGTGTGTGTATGTATGCAGTGTGGGGGTATATGTTGCATGTGTAGGGGTGTGTATGTATGCAGTGTGGGGGTATATGTTGCATGTGTAGGGGGTGTGTATTATGCAGTATGGGGGTATACGTATGTATGTGTAGGGTGTGTGTATGTGTGCAGTGTGGGGATATATGTATCATGTGTAGGGGGGTGTATGTATGCAGTGTGGGGGTATATGTTGCATGTGTAGGGGGTGTGTATTATGCAGTATGGGGGTATACGTATGTATGTGTAGGGTGTGTGTATGTATGCAGTGTGGGGATATATGTATGTATGTGTAGGGTGTGTGTTTGTGTGCAGTGTGGGGGTATATGTATGCATGTGTAGGGTGTGTGTATGTGTGCAGTGTGGGGATATATGTAGGCATGTGTAGGGTGTGTGTATTATGCAGTGTGGGGGTACATGTATGCATGTGTATGGTGTGTGTATTATGCAGTGTGGGGGTACATGTATGCATGTGTAGGGTGTGTGTATTATGCAGTGTGGGGGTATATGTATGTATGTGTAGGGTGTGTGTATTATGCAGTGTGGGGGTATATGTATGTATGTGTAGGGTGTGTGTATGTATGTATGTATGTATGTATGTATGTATGTATGTATGTATGTATGTATGTATGTATGTATGTATGTATGTATGTATGTATGTATGTATGTATGTATGTATGTATGTATGTATGATGCTCAGATAATGAATTTATTACCGTTATAATTAGCGGTAGCATCACTCCGATTACCTGACAAAGGTTCCCATTTGGAATTCTAGTGTCTGGGGGAATTGTTCAAACTAAATTCACGTTTGAAGTGGGTTGAAGTGTATGTTATGTAATTTGTAGCGCAGCGCAGGAATTATCAGTTGCGTTACCAAAAATAATCCATCAAAGGATTAACCGAAAACAGGTTGACTGATTAATTACTGGTATTTTGCAAAGTGATTTTTCACAAGCAAGTGTTTACATGTGTAGCTTTACGAAAGCTGACGGAATACGTACATCAATAGCTTGGCGTGAAGTGCCTATGTAAAAACAACATGCTTTGTTCAAAAGGTTAAGACGATAATACGTTAGTGATTGTTATCTGACTCATTGGATTTTGGACCGTGGACATCAGGAAAATAATTGTCACGTGTGCTTTCTCAGCTGACCAACGAGACTTGACACCTATGTCAAACACCTGAAACAAAATTACGTGATCAGTAAGAAACGAACACGAGTTATAATGTCCAGAAACGCTATATATGTATTTTAAAATATAAGACTGTTACAAAAGACAAGAGTGGCCCAGTCGTCTAAGGCGCCGCGAATCGTTGATTGTGGGTTCGAATCCCGGTTCCCCCCGATTATGTTTCTAGGTTTGTCAGCACCATACCCGTACTCGTGGGTTTCACTGAAGTGGTAAACGTCAAAGACCTGCATCACTTCGGGCTTTAATCCCACATTAAGCGGACATGCCGTGATATAACAGGAATACTGTTAAAACTCATTCACTACAAAAGACACGTGACATCGGACAGGTTTCATTGCACAGATGGTCGTGCGTGAGCTCAAACTCAAATAATGTAATCTCTGTTCGAATCATTTTTTCGGAACACACCTGCACTTTTCAACTAGGTCAGTGTTTTAATCCCTTACAACAACATCACATTTGCAGTTTATACTGCAACCACAAAGGTCGATCTCCTGTCTCCGTTCTTCGATGCGAGACTCTGAGAGTCGTTGTTTTCACAAGACTTTTCGTTTGTAAGCGTGTATATGTATATGGCACAGTCAATCTGTAAAATGTGATGGTTCTCTCAGGCAATTTATTAAATGTCATCAGAGTATGAAACTCCCAAAATTTTCAGCCAGACCACAGGACTGGCTAGCTGAAATACTTGCCAGCCCTGACCAAAACCTGCCTGCCCACTATAATCGTATGTTTCTCAGGATAATTTAATTAAATCTTTAAATCGAATTCACTGAACACGAAGTAATGCAAGAAAAGAAATAGCAAACACTTTTTAGGTCAGATTTGTATTTAATATCCTAGAATACATCATGTAAATAATGCTTATCATCGGGAAATATTTAGAATCTTTTCTGCCGTCGGGCAGGGGGATTTGAAAATCTGGCAGCCCGAGTTGAAATCAACCCGTCTCGGACGGTCGGGCAGGCAGGTATTTCGAACACTATAAATGTGTAAATATTTCATTTAACAAATTGACTGAAAAATCTGTCCATTTATTTAACAGATTAATTAAAACGTATTAAGACATTCAAAATGGGTAAAAACCTCGCAATAGACTAATTATGCTAGGTTCAGAAGTAAAAAATATAGAAATGTACTTTGACCTTCGTATTCTCTTGATCCTATCATTTTCAGTCACTGGGTGATGAAAATAAACATCGAAATGTTTGTAATTCGTTATCATAAAATAAACGGACAGATTTTTCTGTCAATTTGTAAAATAACTCAATGTTTAGGCGTTTAATAAATTGACTTAGTGAAAATTTAATCATTTTACACATTGACTCTAACATATACACACGATAAAATAAGCTAGGCTCAGGTGAAATATTTAGTTTGTGTTACAAATCCAGATAGTGTAAACGAAAATCGCAGAATTCAGAGAAAGTGACTTATTAAAACTTTGCTATCATTACCCCCAAGGACACCTACATTTCCTGATTATTTCCAAGACAAAACTGTATTTCATTTTGTTGATACCCCAAGCGGAGGATCCGGGAACCAGTCTAGAGCAGCGGAGGATCCGGGAACCAGTCCCAGTCTGGTTATCTGGGTAGGCTGCGTTTGTGCTGCGCTGACGAAATGACTCCAACCCAGCGCGAGACACCTTCGTTACACTCTCGATATAGAGAGCTCCGCGAACGGGATATCGCTGTGATGAGCTTGTCCAACAACAATGGTGGCCTTCGCGATGTAAATGATGGATACTTTCTCATCTGTTATTATCTTTTACTGTAGAGAGACGCTAGAACGAATGGTGAGAGAATTTTCTTTGCATTTTAATGAATACTGTATGCATACGTCACGATAATAACGCCCATTATTACTTTTAGTGAAGGAAAACATTATTAAAGCTGTTTCGCGACACGAAAATCCTCGCCAGGGTCCTGTGGTCGTCGCATCGGCGAAATGTAAATTAAATAGTGACACACACCCCATTTCCAACAGCGATATGTGCGTTAATATTTCTTGCAGATTGCTATTGTCACGAAACCGTAATCATTATACATAGAATTGAACGACCACTTTAATGAAATCTCGTTAGCATCTTTATTTTAGCATCAAATTTGAAGTCGCAAATATCGCAGATAATGCCCCATTTTCTATTTTACTATTTAGCCCCGACATTTTTGCAAAGAAAGAGTTTTACATAGATCAATAACACATGATTGAAATTAATCGATTATGTCCTTAAAAGACCCTGTGGTTATAAATTCTCAAGGTTCTCCTGGTGTTAATTAATGATGGGTCATTGGTTCTATTTTGCCTCTATATTATATTCATATAAACATCCATTTATTTTGCATTGTTTCATTCTTACATTATGAATTTATTCAGACAATTAGATCTACTGATTTGTAAGACATAATTCATTAATTTCAATTATGTGTTTTGGGACCAAAAATGTTGTTCTTGAAACATCTTTAGGAAATGCATTAACATGATGAAGGAAGTGACAACTCCTTTATATTTTCAGTGAACACCATAACATCCACAAGTTAATAATGGAAGTACAAAGCCAACCACAGAATCCTGGCTCTGTTACTGAAACATGTAATGCTGGAAATCGATACCCTTAAGAAATATCCTGTCACTGAGACGTGTAAACACTGACTGTGAGAGAAAATATTTGGATACAGGTGATCTCAAGAAAGAACCTGTTACAGAAACATATCTAATCATGGACTGTGAGAGAGAATTGGTGGAAACAGGTGATCTCAAGAAAGAACCTGTCACTGACACATATCTAATCATGGGCTGCGAGCGAGAATTGGTGGAAACAGCTGATCTCAAGAAGCACTCTGTCACTGACACAGGGGATCTCAAGAAAGAACCTGTCACTGACACAAGTGTATTCACTGACTGTGAGAGAGAATTGGTGGAAACAGGTGATATCAAGAAAGAACCTGTTACTGACACAAGTGTATTCACTGACTGTGAGAGAGAATTGGTGGAAACAGGTGATATCAAGAAAGAACCTGTCACTGACACAAGTTTATTCACTGACTGTGAGAGAGAATTGGTGGAAACAGGTGATATCAAGAAAGAACCTGTCACTGACACAAGTTTATTCACTGACTGTGAGAGAGAATTGGTGGAAACAGGTGATCTCAAGAAAGAACCTGTTACTGACACAAGTTTATTCACTGACTGTGAGAGAGAATTGGTGGAAACAGGTGATATCAAGAAAGAACCTGTCACTGACACAAGTTTATTCACTGACTGTGAGAGAGAATTGGTGGAAACAGGTGATATCAAGAAAGAACCTGTCACTGACACAAGTTTATTCACTGACTGTGAGAGAGAATTGGTGGAAACAGGTGATATCAAGAGAGAACCTGTTACTAATACAGGTGTATTCACCGACTGTGAGAGAGAATTGGTGGAAACAGGTGATATCAAGAAAGAACCTGTTACTGACACAAGTTTATTCACTGACTGTGAGAGAGAATTGGTGGAAACAGGTGATATCAAGAAAGAACCTGTCACTGACACAAGTTTATTCACTGACTGTGAGAGAGAATTGGTGGAAACAGGTGATATCAAGAAAGAACCTGTCACTGACACAAGTTTATTCACTGACTGTGAGAGAGAATTGGTGGAAACAGGTGATATCAAGAAAGAACCTGTCACTGACACAAGTTTATTCACTGACTGTGAGAGAGAATTGGTGGAAACAGGTGATCTCAAGAAAGAACCTGTTACTGACACAGGTGAAACCACCGACTGTGAGAGAGAATTGGTGGAAACAGGTGATATCAAGAGAGAACCTGTCATTGACACAAGTTTATTCACTGACTGTGAGAGAGAATTGGTGGAAACAGGTGATCTCAAGAAAGAACCTGTCACTGACACAAGTTTATTCACTGACTGTGAGAGAGAATTGGTGGAAACAGGTGATATCAAGAAAGAACCTGTCACTGACACAGGTGAAACCACCGGCTGTGAGAGAGAATTGGTGGAAACAGGTGATCTCAAGGCAAAGCTAATTATAATAGAAAGAATCATGGCTTTGAATCCACGATCAGCAGGTCCTCTACCTGCTAAGACATACAACTCTTGTGGTAGTTCAGTAAAGGAGTCGCATAAGTGTCGTTTCTGTGAGAAAACATTTTCACAACATGGTCACATGGAGTCACACATGAGTATTCACACTGGAATGAAACCATATCAGTGTGTTGAATGTGGGAAAAGATTTGCAAGATCAGGTACTGTCAAGGCACACATGAGGATTCACAGTGGAATCAAGCCTTATCAGTGTGTTCAATGTGGGAATCGATTTAGAAAATCATGTACCCTAAAGACACACATGAAGATTCACATTGTTGTCAAGCCTTATCAGTGTGTTGAATGTGGGAAAAGTTTTGCACTATCGGGTGATCTGCAGAAACACATGAGGATTCACAGTGGAGTCAAGCCGTATCAGTGTGATGCATGTGGGAAAACGTTTACTTATTCACATAACCTGCGGAAACACATGAAGATTCACACTGGAGTCAAGCCTTATAAGTGTATGGAATGTGGGAAAGCATTTTCACACTCAGGTGATCTGAAGACACACATGAGGATTCACACTGGAGTCAAGCCTTATAAGTGTATTGAATGTGGGAAAGAATTTGGACAGTCAGGTAACCTGCAGGCACACATGAGGTTTCACAGTGGAGAGAAGCCTTATAAGTGTGTTGAATGTGGGAAAGCATTTGGACGATCAGGTGTTCTGCAGAATCACATGAAGATTCACACTGGAGTGAAGCCTTATCAGTGTGTTGAATGTGGGAAAAGATGTTCACTGTCAAGTAATCTGAAGAAACATATGAGGATTCACAGTGGAGTGAAGCCTCATAAGTGTGTTGAATGTGGGAAAAAATTTACACGGTCGGCTGATCTGAAGACACACATGACGATTCACAGTAGAGTGAAGCCTCATAAGTGTGTTGAATGTGGGAAAGAATTTACACGGTCGGGTGATCTGCATACCCACATGAGGATTCACAGTGGAGTGAAGCCCCATAAGTGTGTTAAATGTGGGAAAACATTTACACAAAAAAGTAACCTGCAGACACACATGAGAATTCACAATGGAGTGAAGCCTCATAAGTGTGTTGAATGTGGGAAAGAATTTTCACTGTCAAGTAATCTGAAGACACACATGAGGATTCATAGTGGAGTGAAGCCCCATAAGTGTGTTAAATGTGGAAAAGCATTTACACAATCAAATAATCTGACGGCACACATGAGGACTCACAGTAGAGTGAAGCCTCATAAGTGTGTTGAATGTGGGAAGACATTTACACAATCACGTACCCTTCAGACACACAAGAGGGTTCACTGTGGAAAACATTAAACTTATAAATGATAGGTCAATCAGTTATTCCTTTAATCCATGCATTATGCATGGAGTTTTGACTCCGAGAGATGGGTACATTGAGTGGGTGTTTGTGAGTATGCATATGGATGGGGATGGTGTGTTTACATGCATGACTGGATTGTGGTGTACGTAAGTATGGGTGAATTGAATGTGTGTGTGAGAATGTGCATGTATGGGCATTGTGTGTATGTGTGGATGGTGGTGTATGTAGGTATGGGTGCATTGTATGTGTGTGTGTGAGTATGCGTTTGTATGGGATTGTTGTGTTTGTGAGTATAAGATGAAGGTGAGAAAGAATATAGTACCGCTCACCTATGTCTATTATATTGTATTGTATCGCTTTCCACTTTCATAAATATACTGAGCAACAAAAGTCCCTGTGACATTGAATAAGATTTAATGCAAAGTTATGTTTTTTACCAAATCTGAAACAATTTTGGTTTGAAAAAGATCCTGAAAAAGATCCTTACTCCTGAACATGCCAAAATGTCAATTTACAAATCAATAGCGTGTGGGTCCACCTCTGGTTGCGATGCAAGCAACACATCTTCATCTCATTGAATGGACCAGGCCTCGCACAAAGTCCTGTGGGATATCTTTCCATATCTGCTGGAGTATGTTTTGAAGTTCCTGGAGTGTCTGTGGAAAATGTGGTTGACTTCTCATCCCCAAATGTGCTCGATTGGTGAGAGATCAGGGCCGGCCAGGGGATGACATTCACGTTGTTTTGTTGAAGAGAATCCTGAACAAGTCGAGCAATATGAGGCCGGGCGTTGTCATGTTGAAAGGTAATGCCTGGGCCATGATGACACAAAAACGGTAGAACAACAGGGCCGATGGTCTTGTCGCGGTAGCGCTGTCCATTGAGATTTCCCTCTACCACTATCAAACGGGTCCTCTGTCTTGCTGTAATCCCACCCCATACCATAACGCTGCCGCCCCCAAACCGATCTTCTTCCATGACACAATGATTGATGTAACGTTCACCTCGACGTCGGTACACTCGGATCTGTCCATCGCTGTGGCTGAGGTGAAAACTCGTCAGTGAATAGAACTTGTCCCCACTGCATGGCCGTCCAGCGTAGACGCAGTCTGCACCACTGTAGACGTGATTGATGGTGGTTTCCTGTCATGAAACTTGATGGTATCCTTAGCTTACACTTTGTTATATAAAAGCAAAAGCAGTATTGGTAATCAATTTACTACCCTTTATGTCTAACGGAAATTAAAATTTCCGTACAAACATAATCGTAAAATGTGAAAATAAATTTAGAAATCAACTTATCATGCTTATTTAGATCTGATTATGTCAAAAATGTGTGCTTTAATACTTTTTTCTGTGTAATTTGTGGGCGGATGGCCTTTTAATACTGAATAAAACTCATCTATCTGACTGTATTTGTCATTAGTCAAATTAATATATTACAATAAATATATTTCTTCTCACCAGTACTGTGGCAACTGATATATGTTTGTATAGATGAACATTTCAGAAACTGGAGTAATCAAATAACCTCACAACCATGATTATATGGGGCACATTGTTCAACATTGTTTTGAGTGAGTGAGTGAGTAAGTGGTAGTTTTACGTCTGTGCCAACCTTTCTGTAACACGCAGAGGGGCCACTTAAATTGGCTAAACACAATTTTCTGACCGTGGGAATCGTACCAGGGACATGTCATGCACTGGACTGACACGTTAGCCATAGATCTATATGGCTGCCAATATTTTATGAAGTTCAATGTGCGAATATGTAATATATTTACACGTAATATTACTAATAGACTGGGTACCTGTGTAATATACAACCAGTGGACAGGCAAGGACACATTTCTCGCTGGTGCAATGATTGGGCAAAAGCTCTGAATATTGATATAATTACTGAAAGGTGAACATATTGCGAAATCTGTTCTTCTGTCATTCATCGTAAATTTATGAAAATATACACAATTGTCAGTTCTATTTTGTTACCTGGAAATCTCTCACTAACTTATTAAAAGACATCAATTATAAGCGCATCATATTTTTATGGTGACCAAAAACTGGTTTGTTTGTCTCCGCTTTTTTTTGGACTGTGAATTTCACTTTAGTACAAGTTTTGAGAGGTGTTCTAAAGTTATCATCAGAGTGAATCAAGATGTTTATATCACTACGTACTTTAGTCTTATAATATTTGAACTATGAGTGAGTGAATTGGGTTTAACACTGCTTTTAACAGTATTCCTGTAATTTCACGGTGTGTCAGCTTAATGTCGGAGGAAAGCCCGAAGAGATGCAGCTGTCAGACGTTTACCACTTTTGTGAAACCCACAAGCACGGGTATGTTGCTGACAAACCTAGAAACATAATCAGGGCGAACCAGGATTTGAACCCACAATCATAGGTTTTGGGCGTGCCCAAAGGACGCAACTCTGCACAGCGAATCGCAGGGGGACTGGGCCTATGCATTTTGAAGAGATAACACCAAATATTACATCAAGATCGAGTCAGTCCGTCATGAGTGCGCGACTTCCCTTTTTGTCAACCACTCCCAACCCTTCTTCCAAGATACCTGGAACTGCCATTGTACTATGAACAACTTGAAACAAGGTACATTTGATCCTGAGGATGAACACCTGCGAAAAGAAAGCATACCTACCTATTGAAGCAAGTACCTGTATTGTCATAAAGCGTGCATATGTAACCCAGAAAATAAAGCAAATTGTAATTTGCATGTGATATCTTTGGAATCAGGAATGAGAATATGGCACATTTCAGTTTAAATATTGATGTAATATGACAGTAGAAAACAAACATATACTCTGCAAAAATAGAAATGCAAAAGTTGTAAAATCGTAAATATCTGACAGTGTTGAGGACATCCATACCAAATTAGTACCAAAAATGAACTGGTCATTCTGCATGGATTGGGATTCATTTATGTGGAAAGAATGGGGTACTGCAGACATTTGGTGAAAAATGGAAAAAATCGCAAACGCACATGAGAACCTGACGCCGAAACACACCAACATGACACGAACGTCAAATCACTTGGAGTATATAAATGTTGGTCTTTCATTTGCATGCCATCACCATTTTACAGCAAGTGAATAGCGAAAACAAGCCCCGAATGGCGGAAGCCCAACGCAACAACGCCATCGACCGACTCAAACAGGAGAATTATTTTCAGCTGTAGCCAGGCTTTTCTGCAAAGTACCACGCACCATTACAAGGGACCTTCCCAGATCCGGTCGACCACGTCAGCAACAACCACAGAACCTCCGACAGTTGGCAGACTGGGTGAACATTTCCCAGGCCACAATTCGGGATCTCATTGCTTCCATGGAACGACGACGTCAGTCAGTTTGGGACTCTTTTGGTGGCCAGACAAGATATTGAGTGAGGGGGTATGGTTTTAGCATGGCAGCAATATCACGGCGGGGGACACCAGAAATGGGCTTCACACATTGTACCCATGTCGGGTATCGAACCCGGGTCTTCGGCGTGATGAGCGAACGCTTTAACCACTAGGCTGGCTACCCGACCGCCCCGTTTTTATATGACAGTTCCTTGGAATCTGTATTAGGATCCATAACTCCAGTTCTAGCAAGAACCGGTTTGAGGAGAGGTCCGATTACGAAGTACATGTAGCTGACATAGCGCATGGATGTAACCAGTCTATCCAGGAACGTCTCCTCAAACATTTCCGCAGCCTTTTTTTTAATCCATCTCTCACTCCGACCTTGACCTTCATACTCTACTTGATGTGGCCACACGTCTTCCTTATAATGTTTTAGTGTGTTCTCCCCCAAAGCTGGGCTTCATGCAGTCATTGTACCCATGTTGGGAATCGAACCCGGGTGTTCGGTGTGACGAGCGAACGCTTTAACCACTAGGCTACCCGGCCACCCACAAGATATTGAGAACAGATGACCTTTCCCTTGAAAATCTGCTCTTCCATGTGTCATATGGAACCTGGGTCAAGGACAATGATGTGTGCCAATTAGGAACAATCGTTTACCCTCTGTTGATTATTTATATGATATATAAAATATACATCTATAATCACTTTTGCGTTTCTTATTCTTATTTTATGAAAACAAAACTAGTACTGTGTTTTCACAACAACGATTGTTTTCAAGGAACAAAAGGGGTGCACTTTAAGTAATAACTACATTGTTGTAATACTTTTTAATAATGAAGTAGATCAGTTGAAACTGACAGATATCGAAACCCACAAGGTTGTGAGTGCGTGTGTTATTTTTAATTATTACCCACGTGGTGAAGATACAGGTGGTAAGATACTAAATCCGTACGTCACACGTGTGTCGTACAAGGTTGACCTTGTTTTATTCGTTTTGATTGGATAACCGTGACCTCTGTCACACCGGGACTACTTTTTTCATTCATAAAAAATCGCGAGACGTCATTCATTTTGCGATTACAAGGCAGAACTGAAGAAATTCATGAGAACGAGAGATATTTACAAACACTTTATTAAACCAAACAAGATAGTCACACGCATCAAATTCGGTTTGCATTCTATATAAGTTATGCATTGAGCTCCTACAGACATATAATCGAGCTAGATCTATAAATCGATTTACAATGTACGACTGCCGATTGAGCGCGTCCCTTGAGCGTGACGCACCCGACCATTTTCGCAACTTTCAATTTGATTTAACGTAAAAGGATAAGCGTGGTGAAATGAAGTCTGTTTAAACTATCTGGACAGATATCTAGACTTACTTGGGATGATCCGGTTGTGCCATCGGTGTCACCTTTGAAGCGTATTTTGTGGCGCTGTTTCAGGAGGTGTTGTTCATGAATGAACGAACACGACAGCACGACCAGATCACTTAAAGTTCACAGTTCCGATACAAATCATTCGAAAACTCCGTGGAAGTGTGCTTGACTTCTGATTTTGTGGCCCAAAACATCCCAAAATGTGAACAGTAACATTCCCTATCTCTAGCGTAAAACGCTGTGAGTGGATCGCGGTTGTCTTTTCTTATTCCGGTGGCGACCTTGCCCTTCGATCGTTCGAAGCTGTCACTGACATGCAAGCAGATTTGAGTTTGTTGATTTTCACGTCTTCGGTATATAGGGTGGTACAGTTAACATGAATGTCTTTGGCGAACAGTCTGATTTCCCTCTTCCAAAATGGTACGGACATGATATAAATTCATCTGATAGATCAAGGAAACCGAACCATTTTGATTGCACAGACGGGACCCCGGCAGTGTGATGCGTGTGACTGTTGGTCCGATATTCAAAGCGCGGCGCTAATGTGACATTTCAAATTTTCTTATCGGTGTCCTGCGTACTAACAACATGGCGCTTGAATTACCATAAGTTGAAGACTTTCTTCCAAAAGGATCATGAGCGTCGGTGCTGGTTTGTTTGCAAACAGAACAGCAGGCGCATGTTGTTAATGCGTATGCATAAACATGTCAACAATGCCCATATTTGGTCATATATCAATATTCATGCGCAATCAGATTTTGCAACCGGTTTCAGTTTGGTCTGTCAACGAACGAAAGTTGTTATGTATTTACACTTAAATATATATTTAACGTGGGTAATAAATAAAATACCACACTCATTCTCGTTAGATACCATCTTTACGAAACTCGTGAACTTTCTTACCATAGAAAGTCCACTCGTTTCGTAAAAATGGTATCTAACGAGAATGAGTGTAGTATTCTCTATTTATATAATAAAAGACAATTTTTACAACACCGCGTGTAGCAAAAGCCAAGTGTGCAGTTTTCTTTAGACTTGCAACTGGTCAATGTGACATGCTTGTACTGACAA